ATTTCTTTTTTATAACTCTCTATTTGAATATTGTGGTACTCATGAACCTTATAATTTTGACTAATTTGTGGTATCCTGCTCACCAAATTTATAATATAATATTAAAACTATATTATTAAAGAGAATACTTTCAATGCAGTTAAATATTAATTAATGAGAAAAGAATTAATTGAACATCCAGTCATTACGAAATACTCACAATATTTATTTATATTATTTGAAATATTTTAATCAAATGATTTGTTTTAAATGAATACTACAACTGAAACAAAGCATATTCAATATACTTAAACAAATACTTCTTATTGTTTATAAACTCGATTTGTTGAATGTCACTGATTAATTAACTCTTTTTAATATTATTTTTTTACAATACTAAAATTTTTTCTTTCCATATTACTTCTCTTCTTTGATATGAGATTGTTCTTTTATATATTTTAAAAATACACTGTAAATTGTTTTAGTAGTAATATACTTTTATGAATAAGCTGTTTCAATTTTTAGGAGTATGTCAAGAGTATACAAGAATGTATGACGAGTCTGTAAGGAAATAAATCAATTAATATTTAGAAAAATTATATGTGATTATGAGAAAAATATAACATTCACAAGGTATTGAAAAACTACATTATTAAAAGTAACAACTCTGGACAAAACGTTAAGGTATAATGTTGTTAGATAATCAAAATTATAAAGAAATTAGAACGACAATAAAAATAACTTCATTTGACTTACTTTGAGTCATAAATAAAAAATTCGTTAAAAATTGGTTCATTAGGATAATGCTTTTTAACGATATTATAAACTAGAATAAGAAGACCTGGAAAACGTTTATAGAAATAAAGATAGAATCCGTCAGGGAAACTGGTAAATAAGTTTTGTTCGTTTTTAGGTAAATTATAAAAATGATGGCTTTTGTTTCTAATAGCCCTTAATAAATCCCTTGTTTTGTTAAAATCGTATTTTCTAAATTTTACTAATGAATCAACTAACCCAGGGTCTAAGGATTGGTGCCATCTTATACCAATCCCTGAAGCATCTAGTTCTCTAGTAATAATCATTGACGGGTCCATTTCAAATAAATCACTTGCACTTTTAATAAAATTGAGTTTCTTGTTAAAGTCCCAAAACAAAGGTAATGCCATAATTTGTTCTGCAGTAGGTCGTAAAGTAGGATCAATTCTAGTTAAAATTGCTAACGTCATAACAATTCATTTTGGTAAACGTTTGAATTGTCATAATCATTTTTACCATCTTTCCAAGCAAGGTATTCTTTGAACGA